AAGTCTCTGTTGTAAATACGTAACCTGCGTCAACCTTGAAAATGTAGAATGATACAAGCGTGGTTCGGTTTTTAATTTGTTTAACGCTAAAGATTGTTTTAGTTAAATCAGAATAGATTGATATGATTCATTTTACATCATCATTATCATACTGATGAAGGATATCTGTTATCCGAAATATTTATAGATACTTATATTTATTGTTTGATTTTTTTAATATTAGTGTTGGTTTGTACATTTTCTAGGCGTATATGAAATCAAATAAATGCACAAAAGCGTTTCTCATAACGATCCAATACCCTCGTAAGAAAAATCTTTGACTAATATCTAGACGCTTCATATGTATATATATATATATATATATATGTATACTGAAGTCACTTAACTTAGCAGTATGACAGAATGACAAAGTCTTCCCAAAGTTGTGTTTTGAGATACACATATATAACGGAATTGGTGTATACGAGACAAAACTCTCAGCCTCTTTACAAAATAAATCAACAAAAAAACAAAAAAAAAACAATTTTTTATAAAACAGAAAAAAACGTTTTTGTTATTTTCTCGATCTTGAATTAACAGTTAACATTAAAGATCGGTGCAGACATAGAATATGACATTTCCTTCTGTAGATAGTTAGCTGTTTTTTTTTTTTTATTTTGATTGGATCTGGGAGGTTATAAACAATGACCAATAAGCCCATATCTTTATAAATGAATATTTCATCTTATAATATAATCACATATAATGTTGTAAAACAACTTCGGGTAAAAATCGTCCTCTGACTGGATTCAATTTATGATACTGGTCAATGTAATGAAATAACACAAGAAAACGAATAGATGTTAGCATTTACATTTCAGCATAATTTGGTACGGACAAAAAGATTTCAACAATGCAAATGTAAGTTTGATCTTTTACCGCTGACAAGGGGTAAGTGAGACACTTTCTTTAATATATAATAAAACAAATTACAAAATTTTCGCGAAATATCGCGTGTTTAGGCTTTTGATGTCAATTTTTGCTAGTCCTAAAATCGGTTTCTCGCACTGGTTTACCTGAATTTGTTCGCAGCTTGGGCTTGCCTTTCTTAAGACCACGGAAGACTATTTTTTTTAATTATTTGTTTCACTTGGAAACAAAACAGAACGCATGATTAATCAATAATTTTCAATTGTTTGCATTGAAAGCGCAGAAGCATGATCGATGAGAGTTAGACATGGTTAGAAATACCAACCTAGGCCTATATAAGAGAAAACGAAACATTGCTTGACATACGCGGTATTCCTAACATATACTATAATGCAATCTGCAAGCAATAGATGCTTCAATACTTCTTTTTAAAATTGATGAATTTCAGAAACGTGGTCCACCGGTATATCAGACAAGAACCAACTAATTTGAAGGTTTGTTTGAAAAAAGAACAAAAAAAGCGGTATGTCTTTCTGTTATGATAAGGTAATTATGTAATCGATTTATGTCAACTTTTTGTGTGCGTGTTTAGTACCGATCCGATGAGTCAATCCTATTCCGACAGAGCATTATAGTTCATTTAGTTGTGCTGCTACAAAACTATCTAAAGCTAGGAGAGAGTTGGGCGCTTACAGAAATGTTTAACCACGTCTTAATCAGTGGTAGTCGTTGTTTGCTCTTTGCATTATCTGTTTTCGTTTTCTGTCTCGTCTCTATGAAGTCGAAGAATCGAGATTAAGGCATGCTCTTTCTCGTGATTGTATCAACATTTTTTTAAAAGTTTATGTTTAGACCTGTTTAACCATTTATGGTATATCAATGATATTTGGTATGCAGTTAAAGTAGCTTTGCCACATCTCTTTTACTTGGAAATTATTGGTCCCTGTCCCGGGGCCCCTCAGTCTTATTCTATTGACTTTGAAACTCTTGGTAAGTTTACATATTAAAGTTTGAGGGGAACTTCTAATGGCAAGTCAATGATGTTTTGTATGCAGTTGCATAAACACTGGCATTTCCCGTTTTAACGGATGTTATTTGATTCTGCCCTTTTAGTCATGGGTCATTTACTTTGAATGTTTACATGTTAAAGTTATGCCATTTTAATTGTACTGTCAAAATTATATAAAGGTAAGACATGTCTCTGTGTTCACAGTTAATTCTTTTATCATAAACCAGGCCATCATTATTCTAAATAATAAGGATGTTCTTATCCCAGACCAAAAACCTTGGCCGTATTAGGCACAACTTTTTGGAACTTTTGGTCCTCAATGCTCTTCGACTTTGTACTTGTTTTGGCTTTCGAACTTGTTTGATCTGAGCGTCACTGGTTAGTCTTGTGTGGACGAAACGCGCGTCTTGAGTATTAAATATTAAACCTGGTACCTTTTGTTAGCAATTATTCGTATGTTTCTCTGTCCTATATGTTCTCCCATTTATTTGTATTGTATTCCTGTCATGTAATGTTGTCATTTTAATGTTATATTTAACATTGCCATAAAAGCGGGAGGTTTGGCTAGCCACAAAACCAGGTTCAACCCACCATTTTTGTCTTAAAATGTCCTGTACCAAGTCAGGAAAATGGCCATTGTTATATTATAGTTCGTTTCTGTGTGTGTTACATTTTAATGTTGTGTTTCTGTTGTGTCGTAGTTCTCCTCTTATATATGATGTGTTTCCCTCAGTTATAGTTTGTAACCCGGACTTGTTTTTTTCTCAATCGATTTATGAATTTCGAACAGCGGTAAACTACTGTTGCCTTTATTTTCTCTATTGAATTGTTTCACATTTTTACATGACGGGGCCTTTTATAGCTTACTCTACGGCATTGATTTTGCTCATTGATGAAGGTTGCACAGTGCCTTATAGTTTTCCTATATTTGTTTACATCCTCGTTGTATGAGATATGTTGTGTCATACCACATCTCTTTATTTTTTTATAAAGCAGAGAAGCACGATCCCTAAAAGAGTGTGTTGACCTGTATCAAATAAAAGAAGGTTCGCCTCACAGGATACTGAATTCATTGTATGTGGTTCAACTAAGCAAAGTGGGTTTTGACTGCTGTGAATAATTTCCCATCTGTATCTATAAAGGGGAAAAAACACCGCAGGGATATAAAAAGAAGAGGTCGGGAAAAAAAAATATAACGATCAAACAAAAAAATACAACGAAAAAGCACTATGTCTATCAAACATCACCTAAAGACTAATAAATATGAACAAAAAAAAACAAAACCGGAAGAGCGGGGAAGGAGAGTATGGCGCTCCAGAAAGTTAACAGGCTAACGCTGCTCCACTAGAGACAACCGTCGTAATGACATGAGGATCATATCTGTAGTCATTTGTGACCGAAATATTTTATTACAGTCAGCCAAATAATGGAAAGCATACATAAGGCATACACCATGATCCCTACAGTTTATTGTATGTAGCCGACGTAAGCCTAAAAGAAGTTCCACTTGCAGACAATGACATCTACGCCGTGGTCTTTATTTGACATTGTTTCTTAAATCTTTAAAAAAAAGATTAGCAAACATATATTAAAAAAATACAGCAAATCCATTTTAGTTACAATTCGAGAAATAGCATTCCAAGATGATGGATAAAAACGGATTAACACTTTATACTGATACCGAGAAAAGTTATATATTATTATAGTTTCATTTCTCATGGGCTCTCCTATCATCTAAAGACGTTAACATTTATCACATTTAAAAAAAAAAGGGAATTTTGTTTAATTGCATGAAGTTTGCCTTACAGTTATATAATTTGTGGACATAATTAAATACAGAAGAATGTATTTTCCACATGAATAACTCGTGATTTTTTCCTGCTTTTACTTTACTTTTGGTCCTTTATGATTTAAACAGCTCTTAGTCGTATGTATTAGGTTTGGGATTTTTGAATTATTGGTCCGACCATTACTAACATTTATTGTCAACATGTTCATCTGGTGAAGAATAAAATATTTACAAACATAAGCTTTAACAAGAGGCTGTCATATTGACAGCAAACCGGATTTTCCTGCATAAGAATGATGTTTGGAAATCTGGACCCCCAAACAGGATCATGAAAAAAAAATAATTCAGAAATGGAAAGGCGAAAATTAATCTTAGTATCACTTTTCGCTACTTTAAGGTCTACAACTCAACAACCATAAAAGCTCAAATCGTGAAAATCGACTTGACCTTCATTTAGTCACCGGAACCAATATATCTAAATTTGAAAAGATTTCGTCAAAGCGTTTTCAAGTTATTGCACGGACACTGTTTGGCAGCCGACAACCCGCCCGCCGTACATCATCAAATTAATAACCGATATTTTCCTTTGGAAATCCGGTTAAAAATGAATGAGTATAGGCGAGATTCAAATGTTTTGATTTCTGTTTTGATTTATTTTTAAATCCAGATTTCTCCAACAGTTCTTTACAATAGTCTTTGCATACAACAATGACCATGTCCGTTTTTCTTCTAATGTAAGTGTTTATAATTGTTTCACAAATTTGCCCAGCCGTCTAGCATGACGCTGACAAAACGAGCATCTCCGTTGTTTGGCATTGCTGTTAGGAACGATATGAAGACATTTTACCATTTAAACGTTTAAACCCGCTGCAATTGTTGGCACCTGTCCTAAGTCAGGAATCTGATGTTCAGTAGTTGTCGTTTGTTGATGTGGTTCATAAGTGTTTCTCGTTTTTTATATAGATTAGACCATTGGTTTTCCCGTTTGAATGGTTTTACACTAGTAATTTTGGGGCCCTTTATAGCTTGCTGTTCGGTGTGAGCCAAGGCTCCGTGTTTAAGACCTATATTGGTTTACTTTTATAAATTTTGACTTGGATGGAGAGTTGTCTCATTGGCACTTATACCACATCTTCTTATATCTATAGAAAACAAGGTTGAATAACCGATTATTTGCAGTGGTTGTTGATATGGATCATCATACATGTATATTTCAAGTACATTTTATACATGTTTACACATTTGCCTATGTTTTCTGAATGAACATAATGTTAATGATACAAGACTCCCGTTTTGTGTTTCAAATTAAACACGAGGAATGCAAAATAAAAAAAAATAAGTTGATGGAGATTAAAACAAAATATACTAAAAATTGACGAAGTCAATCTGTGCATCAATTTCTTGAAACAAACGCTTTAAATATTTTTTAAACATATGTGTTCAGATAAGACAAAGTTCTTTTAAAGATCTTTACACACAAAACCTTCAAAAGATGTAAAAATTGTCAAACGGCGTTTTTATGTTATTTACATATCTGTCGTTCAAACATGAAAGACTCTCAAACTAAAGCTAAAACAGTTAATATACTTGATTTTAAACCAAACAACTACCACATCATTTTAACTCTAGTGGATAGTTGTCTAATTGGCAATTATACCACATCTCCTCATTTTTAAATAAAATATATATATATATAACTAGAAGAGTTTTCTGTACTTGTCATATCAGTTTAAAAAATGCAAATGTATTAAGCAAAGAAAGGTTGCTTGAAATGCAGTTCCGTGTTTCTGAAAGAGAAATACCATATGGTCACAAAAAGAATTGCATAGCTTTTAAAAAGCAAAAGTATCAGTAAAAGAAAGGCGAACTATAAGGGACATTCAAACTCATAAGTCGAAAATAAACTGACAACACCATGGCTAAAAATTAAAAAAGACCAACAGACAAACAACAGTACACAAACACAACATAGAAGAAAAAAAAAAAGACTGATCATCACGAACCCTACCAAAAACTAAGGGTGATCTCAGGTGCTCCGGAATGGTAAGCAGGTCCTGCTCACATGTGGCACCTATCGTTAAGTAAATTAAAATTTTACATTTTTAAAATATACTGACGGAATTCTTATTGTACCTCAAGCGAAGGTCACAAAAGTTTTAATTATTCCACAAGGGAAATGTTTTGAAAATCGATTGAAAATGCTGAATCTAAAAATTTGTTATTTTTTCAGTTAAAATCATTATTATAGATTTGTTAATCTTCATTTTCCAGCAACTCGAAATCTACATAACCAAACAGCCGTATTCATTTGTTTTCATCATGGTTTGCAAACTGTCAGACTCTTTTGAAAGATTCTGTCTTAACTCCCTTTTATTTCGCTGAAAATTATATTTCTGTTTCACAAGTGTTCTTTTCATTTTGTGCAGCTGTTTCAATTTTGAATCACGTTCGTCAATATCGTGTTTTGTTTTGTTCTTAATTTCGTTCTTTTGCTGCTCCAGTTTACGACGCTGGTTTTTCACTTGCTTTAAATTTTCGGTTATGTCTGTGAACTCTTTCTTTTTACTTTTCAGCTGCAAGTCGATATTTTTGACATCCTCTTCCTTTTGTTCTTGTATATTTTTTTTTAATTCCTCATTGCTCAGAATTTCCCTTTCAGTTTTATCAATAAGTTTGTTCAAATCTGTCTCCTCACTATTACATCCTACATATACTTCATCATATATAAATTGATTTGTTATGGACACTCCAGAATCCTGGCTTTGCAAAGAAGTAATGTCAAATTCATTTTCGTCAAAATCTTCTTCCGCTTCCTCATCTGAGTTAATATCTAATTTGTCTAGTACCTGTATGGCATTTTTTTCACTCAAAGCGACATGGACTTCTTTGGCTTCATCAATTATTTTGTTGGTAAAATAACCACCGTTGTTATCATTTACTATATCTGTAATAGCTTTTACCACTTTCGTCACCATATCAAATTTGTTTGATCCAGTTGCAATGTTGTTTATCCCAATGTATCGATTCTTGCATTTCCCAACGAAATCGGTGAGAGGTGGGCCTGATTCCTCAATAAATGATTTGATACTTTTCCCTTCTCTTTCTAATTCTTCCGATCTGGTGAAAACAATCAAAGAATACTCCCCCATGGGTGTACCAAAAATCTCGAACAATTTTTGCAAAGCCTTTGTTTCTTCCTTTGTGAACCGTGTTATCTGCAGCACAATCAAAAATACATGTGGCCCTGGTAATGACAACTGAGCGCAGCGAATTAATTCACAACTAATTGCGTGATGAGATAACGTTGTGTCGAATAAACCGGGTGTATCAATTACCACTAATTTTTTGTCACTACAAATGCCATCAAATTTTTCACATATCTTAGTAATGGATTTTCCACAGACATAAGAATCAAAATAGCTTTCTCCTAAAATAGAATTTCCAGTAGCGCTCTTGCCTGATCCGGTTTTTCCTAGCAGTATGATTCGAATTTCATCTCCATTGTCTACAAAGAATGTCAAAATATGTACATACAGAAAAGTGTAAATTGTACAAAGTTCGATAGATTTAGCGGAATTTTATATATCATTAAATCAAATACACTTTTTGTCAAAACTTTCCGCATGTATATTTTTGAAAAAATTAACATGTTTCCCCAATAATTTCAGCAATGTTTTTATTCACATGATATTATGGGTATCTCAACATAACGGGGGACCTCGGTGACCGAGTGGTTTAAGTAGTCGAACTACTGTTTCACTAGCCAGTCAACACTGAGGTTGTGAGTTCGAATCCCGCACGGGGCAGGTGCACTCGACTCCAATCTTAATTGACTAGGATTGTTTTCCTACCGAAGGTCGGAGGTTCTCTCCGGGCACTTCGGCTTCCTCTTCCTCCACCAATAAAAACTGACCGCCGCGAAATAACACAACAGTGTTGAAAGTGGCGTTAAACACCATCAACCAATCAGTCAATCTCAACATAACGGTATTGTCCGTTACTTTTTGGTAACTCACATTAGTAACATAAAGGATTTGAATTTTAGAAATATCTGTAGTGATCAGTTTCTGACTGTCAAAAACAGCCGTTTGTAGAATGACAACTCGTCGATTGAATTCCTTAAAACTGGACAGATTTTGTTAAATTTGTTTTATTTAATAAAAAGTAAGTGGTAAAACAGAATATACTTAAAATAAAAGATAAGATTTTCTATCCGTTTTTTTGTGTAAAAGACACATTCTAAACGTTATTTTAAGAATTTCAACAGTACTTAAAACTCGTGTATGTTTTTATGGAAAATATAGTTTTGAGTTGACTCAGTTTTATAGACCGGTATTTCAAAATTGCTATATCTTATTTGAAGCCCTACTGATTTAATTGTGTTTAAGTGTGCACTCGGCTGAACACATTAAATTAAATATATGCATCTCTTATTTTTCATTCCAGTAAACATTAAAGAATTCAATTTGAAAAAACCCCTATACATTCTCATTTAATTTTATCTAACTGTAGTCTTAGTTATATGTTTTAATATGAAATTAAAATACTGAACAAAAGATCTCTTTTCAAATGTACTAATTAATGTATCGAAAAAACCAAATTTGATGAAATCTTGTAAATTCTGTGTATGTCAATTTATAAGTCGGAAGACAGTTTGCCACTGATTCTTGTAAATCAGTTCATGTGTAATAAAATATTTCTGTGTTACTGTTTTCTACAATCCATAGTACAAATCTTGTCATTTCTTATCAGTCATCTACAATATTCTGGTCATCAGACAAATGCCTGCTGTGAAGACTAATACACAAGTGTTTGGTTAATGATTTATCAATAAGCTGTTAATTGGTTAATGTTCTGGCTATTTAGCTGACGAAACTAGAATCTGGGGTTTGTCCTATAACTGTTATATCATGTAAGCTTGAGATTCATAAACATTATCAATACCAATCAAGTGAAAGGCTGAAAAAGCTCTAAATATTCATCGATTTAATAGAAGCATGATAATAAATTTACAAGAATTTTGAGCACAACGTCATGGAATTAAATTTATATTTTAATCATTGTCTATATTAATCCATCGGGAATATAAAATTAGATGCGACAATGTATGTTTGAGATATATTGCAACCAAATAATTATATATACATGGAATAAAGAACTTTTTGTTTTTGATACTGACTTTATCACGGTAAAATAATTCGGTTGAAAGACTATTTTGAAGTGTGTGTCCTTTAGACATTGTAAAATCATCGCCTGAAAATTGCCAAAAGACAAGAAAGCGCTAATGATATTATTTAACGAACTTTAATCATTTGTTGTCTTTGCTAATTATAAGTTTTGATATATACATTCTGTGCACCGTTTTTATCGAATTTTATAATATCATTTTCGTATCCTATTATGATATATATATATATATATATATATATATATATATATAAACATGTGACACCTTTACAATACAGTTATATATGTAGAAGTCGAAGGTACGATGCGGACGCATGGTCACATGTACACTGATGTGCGATGGTCCGTTTTACGCGTGATAGTTAGCTTAAAATCTACAGATGTTTAATGAAAAGTAGATTTCTTAATGGTTAGTATATAAATTTGCATCCGTTATTGTCTATATAAAGATAAGATGTTGTATCATTTCCAATGAGACAACTCTCCACATAGAAGTTTACAACTATAGATCACCGCAAGGCCTTAAAAACTGAGCAAACCCATACCGCAAAGTCAGCTATAAAAAGCCCAAAAATGACTAATGTTATACAATTCAAAAGAGAAAACTAACGGCCTGGTGTATATCCTTAGTTACAGTTGCATATCAAATGTCCTCTTGATTTTCTTCATGTGAACATAATTCTGCTTTACATTTTATATGTACATGGTTCCTATCATGAGTTCCTTTTTTACCGTAATACTATAATACGGAGAGTCTGTCTGTGGACCCGTATGTATTCTAAGAATACTGCGTTCCATCGTAGGTAAAAAAGAACCACTGTAGATTTGGGGAAAAAAATCTGCTACAGAAGGTTGACTTTCTTTTCTCCGCCAATCAAGCCCCTTATTAACTTAAAAACCAGAAAAACAGCTTCTAACATACAAATTGACATGAAAAGCATTAACAAAAAAAAACCTGATAATAAATGGTTCAAATAAGGCCTTTGAAAATAGTGGAATTAACTACTTTTGGAGTGTTAAAATATCGTTGGAAGTACTTGATGCATTGCATGCATATATTGATGATTTTGAATCTGTTCAAAGTTTTGATTTTTCAACCCTATATACCACTTTGCCTCATATTCTTATTAAGAAAAAATTCACACACCTAATTAAATGGGTATTTAAAAAGTCGGAATGCGAATACATATGTTCAAACTCTTTTAGGTCATTTTTTAGTAGCAACAAACAAAAGAGCTATGTCAATTAGCTTTGATACTATATCTGCCCTTGAATTTTTACTTGATAACATTTTTGTTCGCTTTGGAGATTCCGTATATCGTCAAGTGATCGGAATTTCAATGGGGACTAACTGTGCACCACTTATTGCTGACCTGTTTTTGTATTGTTATGAGTTACAATTTATGACTAAAATCAGCAAAAACCCATCGAAACAACATCTGATACAAAAATTTAACAATACTTTTAGATATTTGGATGATATATTGGCTCTTAATAATGACGACTTCAGTATGTATACTAAAGAAATTTATCCTGTTGAACTTACTTTAAATAAAGCTAATACTAACAATGACCACTGTCCTTTCCTCGATCTTGATATCTATATCATTAACGGGAAGCTTAATACAAAAATTTATGATAAAAGAGATGATTTTTCATTTCCCATCGCTAATTATCCATGTTTAGATGGTGACGTTCCCTTGTCACCATCTTATGGTGTTTATATATCTCAACTTGAACGATTCGCTCGTGTATGTAACAACGTATTAGATTTTAGCGAGAGAAATTTATGTATTACTGAAAAATTATTACACCAGGGTTTTCGATATCATAAACTAGTCAAAACATTTACTAAATTTTATCATTGGTATAAGGACATCATTCGTAAATATAACTCAACATGCAGACATCTTATACGTTCGGGTATTTCACATCCAATCTTTTATGGTAATATTCTTTACAAAGCACAAAAATGTCAGTATTCACCTCAAAAGCTAACAAAACCTTTAAACAGACTTATTAAGAAGGGATATAGTTACGATACTGTTGTCAGATCATTAAAGATTGCATATTTTGGCTTTAATATTGATTCACTTATAGGGCCTTTGCATCGGAATTAAACATATTTATTCTAAAACCAGTTGTTTGCATGACACGGGTTATGTTCTTCTCATATATTTTATGATGGTATAATACTAAACCCCTAACAGGAGGGATTGTGCCTGATATTCATATGACGAAGACATAATCTTGCAATCAGTTTAATTGAAATCTTGAGCTGGCATATCAGTAACTGCTAGTAGTCTGTTGTTATTTATGTATTATTGTCATTTTGTTTATTTTCTTTTGTTTCCTATTCTGACATCGGACCCGGGCTTCTCTTAAACTGAGTTTTACTGTGCGTACTGTTGAACGTTTGTTTTTCTACATTGGCTAGAGATATAGGGGGAGGGTTGAGATCTCAAAAAACATGTTTAACCCCGCCGCATTTTTGCGCCTGTCATAAGTCAGGAGCCTCTGGCCTTTGTTAGTCTTGTATCGTTTTTAATTTTAGTTTCTTGTGTATAATATGGAGTTTAGTATGACGTCCATTATCACTGAACTAGTATACATATTTGTTTAGGGGCCAACTGAAGGACGCCTCCGGGTGCGGGAGTTTCTCGCTGCATTGAAGACCCATTGGTGGCCTTCGGCTGTTGTCTGCTTTATGGTCGGGTTGTTGTCTGTTGTCTCTTTAACACATTCCCCATTTCCATTCTCAATTTTATTATTGTCTATGTATGTACCTACAGTTACATACTGAATAAGAGATTGTCCTCTATGAGTTTCTGCATGTGAACATAGTTCTGCTTTAACATTTTATTTCTACTTGGTTCCTCTCATGAGTTTCTCGTTTACCGTAATATCATAATACGAAGAGTCTGTCTGCGGACCCGCATGTATTTAGAGAATAACGCCATGCTCCATCGTACGTAAAATATAACCATTTGTAGATTTCGAAAAAAATCCGCTATAGAAGGTTAATTTTCCCCTCTCCACCAATCATTCTCCTTTTTCCGTAGTTTATAAGCCACTTTATTAACTTAAAACTCGAAAAACTGCTTCTAAAGTACCACAATGTATCGTCGAACTAAAGCAAACAAATTGCCTTCTACATAGACATGAAAAGCATTGAAAATATAGTTTATTTTATTCCACTTCGTCGTTACCACCATCGCACTTCGGCGTAGCTATCAACAAGATAGCGTCACAATGACACCATCGTTCTTCAGCGTGATAAAAACGCACTTCAGCATCCAACCATCTACTGCCCGATTA